CGCGTCGCTGAAGGTCGCTGTATGTCTGTTGGTGGCTCCAGTGCATGGCTCTTAGTGTGTGAGTTTGGGGTCCCAGCACCTCTCTGGGCCGAGTTGGTGCGGTGGGGTGGGGGTGGGCGCTCTTGGAGACCCGCTGCTGCGCGACTAAGCTGTGTCCACGCCACTGTGCCCGTGGGGGAGTTGTTTACCTGACTGCAGCGGGGGTCCCGACTGTTGGCTGGTGTGTGGACAGGAAGGAGGTGTTCTCCAGAGTGGGTAGCCCGGGCAGGTGACTTGGGGAGCGCTGCTCACTTAGCAGTTAGTGATGCGCGTGTGCGCGCCCGCCTGTGTGGCTGGGGCGCTGGGAGGCTGGGGGACTGTTTATTGCTACAGTGTGGCAGTCAGTGTCCCTCGGTGGGGGGGACGCCAATGTTTGTGTGCAGATGGGAAGTGCTGAATAGCCACCGTGTCCTTGCCAAAGCTGCCCTTAAAGACAGGCAGTGGCTGCCACCCGCCCCTGGCGCTGGTGGGGGAGGCAGGTGGCAGGCCTACAGCTGACAGCCTAGGGCATTTCCATCCCTGTCGGGGCTGTGGATGGGGCAAGGGGGCAACTCAGGGATCGAGGAGGAGCAGGGTGGCCAGGCCCCCCCCCTCCCTTCTGCTGACTCTGGCCCTCTCTCCAGGCCCAGGGCCCCCGCCTGTGCCCAGCCTAGCTGGGAGCCCCGGCCTGCACCACGGACGGTACCCAGGAAGCCAGAGTGCCCCTGGAAGGGGCCTTCTGGATCCCCAGGCGCCCGGCTGGGTCCCCCAAAGGCTGCTTCGCCTGCGTGTCCAAGCCCCTGGCCCTGCAGGTTCCTGCGGCCCCGGGCCCTGAGCCCCTGGCCTCCCCACCCATGGCACCAACCCTCTTCCCCATGGAGTCCAAGAGCAGCAAGACGGACAGCGTGCGGGCCGCAGGCGCCCCTCCAGGCTGCAAACACTTGGCTGAGAAGAAGACCATGACCAACCCCACCACAGTCATAGAGATCTACCCGGACACTGCGGAGGTGAATGACTACTACCTGTGGTCCATCTTCAACTTCGTATACCTCAACTTCTGCTGCCTGGGCTTCATCGCCCTGGCCTACTCTCTCAAAGTGAGCGCCCGCTGGCGGCGGGTGGGGGTGGGCATGGTGCACCGGGCTGGGCCCTAGCTCCCCAGGGAGTGCACTGGGGAACAGGGGCTGCCCCGGGGGCTGAGGGATAGAAGGAAGATGAAGCTGCCCATGGGATCCAAGGGTCAGCGGCTAGCTCTGGGGTGGAGGTTCTGAGCCAGCCGGGGTCTCTATGTGACTGGCTTAGCAGGGCCTTTGGGGATGGTATGCAGCTTGAAGGTTGAGAGTCCTGCACTGTCTGCCTGGACAGCCTCGGGCAGAGGGCATTGAGCCAGGGTGCAGGATGGAGGGCCTGGAAGCACTCCAACTTGGACAGTGAGACTGAGACCATGGCCAGTGAGCTGCTGGAGGCAGGGGGCAGGAGGGCAGCGGGCAGGAGGGGAAGGATGGTGGATGGTGGGGAGCTGGCTGGAGGGAGGTGGGGTGAGCCCACATTCAGGGGAAAGCCCAGCCCTATGGGCCCTCCCAGTGGGGGTGGCAGTGCAATGCCAAGTGAGTGGCCTTTGACTCAGCAGCACCCCCCACCCCACCCCAGCATACTGTCACTTTCTCTCCAGTGGCCACAGTCCTCTGAGGGCCCTGCAGGTGGGGGTGGGAGTCGGGGAGACATGGAGGTAGGATGGCCTCCCAGGAGGAGAGGTGGCTGAGCCCTGCCCCCACACACCTGCCCCAGCATCCCATGTAGCCGAGCCATCTGTGGACACCCCTCTGGGTCCCCCCTCCTTGGGGAGCGCCACCTGCATGTGCAAGTGTGCACATGTGTGTGCATATGTGCGTGGTGAGGGTGTAGGCACACAGGGCGGGACCCTGGATTTGGGGCCAAGGGCCTGCCAGCCTATTTCCAGGACCATTACCCCCCCCCCACTGGCTCCTGCTGAGCAGGGGGCAGAATGGCTGGGGCAGTGGGCACCACAGCTGGTGGAGGTGGCTGTCCCTGGTGCCCTGCCAGCGGCTTGCAGATATGGCTCTGGCAGAGCGGGTGGCCCTGAACTGTCCCTTCCTCCCCTTGGCTCTGGTTGTGGCCAGCTGGCTGGCATGGGCAGACCCATCTGGCAGGGCCAGCAGGCAGTTGCCTGGCAGGCAGGGTTGTAGGTAGGTCACCGGCCCCTAGGCACTGCAGGGACAGTACTGGGTGGGGGGCATGGGGGGTACTGGAGCTTCCGAGGGTGCAGGGAGCTGACCTCGCCACAGCTCCATACCAGGGCAGCCCTCCTGTGTCCTTGCTGGGGTCGGAGATCTGGGGCTTACCCGCGGAACAGGGTTACGGAGAACTGGCTGACTCTAACTCCTGCCCCGGGGACTTGTCCACCTGCCCTCCAGCTGCCTGTCTTGGGGTTTGCAGCTGGGGATGGGCTCCCTCCAAGGGCACCGGGCAGGCTTGGAGACAGAAGGCCTTGGCTGGAACCCCAGGCCTTCTTGGGTCTTTCTGAAGCCCTGCTCCCATATCTGTTCATGAAGCCAACAGAAGCAAAGGGGCATTGAAATGGGTACATATGACAGGAGCAGAGGTTGGCAGCCAGTGACAGGAACTGGACTCTGTGTCCCCCCTCCATGCCTCATCCACCCATCGCGTCATCGCTCAGACTAGGCGTCTGGACGCTCTGCTCAGCCTCCTGTCCTGGGCCACAGAGACACAAAGAGCCAATTCTTCATTCATTGCCGCCTCTGGAAGCTGCCTGCTGGTCATTTTGTCCCTGTGCTGCATAGCGGCCACTGGCTCCCGCCATTGGCTGGCTAAAGCCCAAATGCCTCCTCTTGGAATCCACAGCCCTTTGAGATCCATCCTCACCTCGTGTCCTCACGTCCCAGCACCCTCTGCCCAGGCATCCCATGGACACATGGGCCGGACGTGTGCAGCTGGCTTGGCACAAGCCTTCCCTCCGCCTGTGGGAAGGGCAAGTCTCCTTTTGGGGGACCGCCTGGGTACAGTCCTCCCTGTCCTGGGTCACCCTCAGACTTGCCCCTTCCTCTCGGGTTGGGCAGGGTTGATCGGAGTAGAGGCTCGTAGATGGTTTGTCGCGTGGCTGGGTGGACACAGAGCATACGGCGAGATGGATGTGCGCCGAGTCCTTGCAAAGAGGAGTCGCTGACTCCCCGTGCAGGCTGAGAGCAGGGACAGGAGACTTCCTGGAGGGGTCAGCATTTTCACTGGGCCCCAAAGGATGGACAAATGGACAAGTGCTCAGATGAGAAACTAGCATGAATGAAGACATGGGGGTGGGCAATTGGGGGTCTCGGGCCTCTGGGAGATTAGTGGAGGGAGATTGTCCTGGAGGGCAGGCTGAGGCCATATAGGGAAGGGCTTGAAAAGCCTGGGTGAGCGATTTGGATTTCGTGGCCAGGGGGGCATGGGAGGGAAAGATGAGACCTGTGGCTTCTGTGGAGGATGGAGACAGAACCCTAAAAGTCGAGGGAGGCAGGGTCCTGGCCCAGGGCTCAGGGGAGAGCCTGCGGCTCAACGGGGGGCAGGGACAGTAGGCAGGAGAGAAGGAGAGGATGTGCATAGGACAAGCAGCGGCTTGATTGGGCCCAGGAGGCTCGGGGTGGCGGTGATGGCCAAGCCAACATCAATTAGCACAGAGGATGCTGTTTTCAGATCTTTGTATTTGCTACTCTCTCTGTTCTGAATATCAACATCATTCATTCATTTACTTATCCATCTGTCCACCCACCCTTCCATCTATCCATTCATCCACCCACCCTTCCATTCATCCACTCACCCATCCATGCATCTATTACCTTCCCACCCATTCTATCTGTGTATCCACCCACCCATCCATCCATCCATCCATCCATCCATCCATCCATCCATCCATCCATCCATCCATCCATAATCCACCTGCCCATCGTTCTTCCATTTCACCATCCATCCATTCATCTCATTCTTTCATCCATCCACCTACTCCTCCACCAATCCATTCATACATCCATGCTTCCATCATCCATCCATCCATCTATCCATCCACCCACCCACCCACCCTTTCAGCCACCCAATCATTACACACCTGTCCATCATTACATCCATCTATCCACTCACCCTCTCATCCACTATCCACCCACCTTTCTGTCCATCCATTTTTTTACAATCATCCATCCATCTATCCATCCATATAACCATCCACACACATATCCACCCTTTCTTCAGTCCATTAATCCACTTACCCACTCATCCATCCATTTCCCCATCCACTCACCTATCCATCTACCTCCTTCAAACCATCTCAATGGACTCCCACACTCCATCCATCTCCATCCATCCATCATGTTTACAGTTAACTGTGCTTCCTCCTCTGTGTAGCACTCTCTCCACCCCATCCCCCCTTAGACATGAACCTTAACTATCCCTCTAACCCCACTTTCTCAGCAACTGCCTTTCTTTCACCTACTGACCCAACACCTTAATAAAGCTACACATCCTCCAAGCGATCTACCTATCTCTTCCTCAACTTCGCCTCCAGCTGAACCACTCGCTCTAGTCTTCATGAACAGTCCTCGTTCCCACGGAACATTCAGTGGTCGTCCACTTTCTGAGTACCCTACATCGCTGTACACCCAGGTGTCCATGGTGGCCTGATTCAAAACCTGATGTCATGAGTTGTGGTGTGTGAGGCTGGCGTTCTGGAGAAATAAAACCACTGACTCATCATATGAGAGAGAATGATCCAGAAGGCACCTGTTGTCAACTTGAGACTATAAAGAGTGGATGGGGTGGAGTTTAGCCCGTCAGTCAGGTCCTTATGGATGACCTCATAAGGAGGCGCTATGGAGATAAATAGCTCGCTGGAGGTGGGACACACACTCACTCCCTGCAAGACATTCCTGTTGACACGCGCTATGCTGATAGAGCCAGAGCCCTGGAACTGGAGGAGCCAAGTGGAGACCCACGCCCGTGCTGAGATGTTTCCACCACCACTGGATCCCCAAGACTTCCCACCCACTGGCCTGTGATCTTCCCGCACTTGGTGTCATTGCATGTGTTGCATGAGTCTGAAGAAGAAATTATGGACTAATATCGACATGGGCTAATATCGAACTCATAGACTTGATCTGGACTGGGCTAGGATGTTTTCTTAATATACAATTACTCTTTATATAAAGCTCTTTCTTATGCACATAGGAGTCTCCCTAGATTTGTGTCTCTAGTCTACCCGGACTAACACAGCATCCCAACCCAGTCCAACTCAGGTCCATGAGTTCAGTGCTTGCCAGGGCCCTCTGAAGACTCATGTGGATGCAGGCTGATGAAGCAGGGAGGCCACGGGTTAGTGGGTGCAAAGTTGCATGGATCCCAGGTCAATGGGAACATGGTGGGCTCAGGCAGCTCCCAGGGTTAGCAGCCGGTGTGGCACCCCCCCCCCACCCCCCCCACTACAGGCAGACACAATCGTAGCGAGCAGCAAGGGTGAACCGGCAGAACCCACCCGCTCCTTCAATTGCCTTCTCCCCCTCTTCTAGCCTCCCATCTGCACTCTGACTTATCCGAATAGCCACCCATCCATTGGTTCCTGCAGATAGCAGTGCGAATGCGGGCTGTCCACACTGCTTCACCAAACAGATCTGTCCCCTCCGGGGACTGTTTTCCCGAAGCTGGATCCCAAGTGAGTGGGTGGAGCACTATCCTGGCGTCATCGATACTGCTTTCCTGGCTAATCAACGAACGTGGATCATCAGGCATTCCGTTCTAGTTTGTCTTAGTCTGGACGCTCCGCTGAACCCTGGCCCCCATTGGTGGCCCTGATGGCATCTGAGATACAGGTGACCTGGCCTCCAGTATCTTAGCAACATGGAAGCTGCCACCCGGTGACAAACTGGCAGATGAGTGCTGACTCGTTTATGGTGATGGCGGCGGCGTTGGTGGTGGTGGTGGTGGTTAGGGGCTAGGAGTCAGTTCCGACCCACAGTGACCCTGCGCACAAGAGGACAAAACATCCTTGCCACGGTTCCTGTGCCTGAGCCTGGTGTTGCAGCCCCATCCATCTCCTCGGGGCCTTCCTTTGTGTCTGCCCCTGCACTTTACACCAAGCACGACGTCCTTCTCCAGGGCCGGTCTCTCCCGACCGCACGTCTGAGTACGGGAGACGCCGTCTCGCCGTCCTTGTCTCCGAGAAGCTCTGGCTGCGCCTCTTGGGAGACATCGCTCTGTCCTTTTGGCCCACCACAGCACCGCCATTCAAATGCCTCCTCTTTACTAACCCAAACGGGCCATTTGTCCACCATCTCTCAATCTGCCTTCTCTGTGTCCCACCAATTTACCCACAGTGCACATCCCTCTAAACCCCAGCCACGCCAAACCCACTGATCCAGGTGGCCTTGTAGATGCCTGACGGGGGTCTCTCCTGGAACAGACAGCCTCATCTTTCTCCCCGCGGCTGGTGGGTTTGAACAGCCAACCTTCTTGGCTGGCAGCCCGGCTCATTCCCACCACCAGGACGCCCAGTACACTCCTCTAGCCTCTTATTAATTAGTATTATTCTATCCGTATGGCATCATCTCTCATTCCTCGCATGACCCTCCCCCAGCCAAATGTTTCATCCCCACCTTGTCCTCCGCCCCTGGTGGAGAAGTGGTTGGTGACACGCTGGGCCGCCATCTTCAAGGTCAGCAGTTCGAGACCACCCGGCAAGCTTGGGAGAAAGACAGAACTTTCTACCCCCCTAAAGAGTGACAGTCTCAGAAACCCCCAGGGGCGGTTCTCCTCTGTCCTGTCGGGGAGGGGGGGGGGAAGGGGAGAGAGTGCCCGCCCTTAAGGAGCCTGCCTTCCAGCAGGGCTCAGAGGGCCAGTAAGACGGAGACTCGCAGCGCTGCCTGTTGGGTGGCGGCCCCAGGGGTGAAGAAGAAATGGAGCCTGGTTCTGGAGATCGGGGTGTCCTTTCGTCTGGGGGAGGTCAGAGAGGGTGCAATGACATTGGGGTGAGCTGAGTCGATTCATGAAATAGTCCTGTGTGTTGGGGTAGAGGAGCCCTGGTGGCTGTGTGCTGGGTCATATGTTGGGGTGTGGTCCACATGGTTGGCAGTTCGAAAGCACCGGCGGCTCCACGGGAGAAAGACTGGGCTTTCTACTCCCCTCAGCAGCTATGATCTCCGAAACTCACAGGGGCGCTGTGAGCCGGCACTGAGCAGACATCCGCAGAGGCACAGAGGAGGTCTGGGGACAGCACCCAGGGGGAGGGAGCAGCCCTTGACAGGCCCCAAGGCCCAGTCGGTTTGATGGCCACTGACCGAATGGCAGCCGAGACGGAGAGGTGGCAGCCGAGACTGGGCCAGGCCATGGAGGCCTCCTACGGAAGTTGTCTTCTACTTCAAGTGAAACGAAAGGCCAGGGGAGGGTTTTAAACCAAGGCGAGGGGCGGTGTGGCGTCTGCTGCCGGGGAGATAACTCTTGCTGCTGTGTAAGATGCCTGCGGCGGCGGCGTGGGATTAATCAAGCCTGGCCCAGTGGGAGCGGTGGGGGTTATCTGTGCAAGGGCTTTCAGAGGAAAAGCCAACAGTGCCCTGATGGATCAGACAGAGGCGGCGAGGGACAGCTCTTTCCAAAGGTCCACCAAGGATGCTCCCGGGCCAGCTGGCAGGATGGAGATGGGAAAGAGTGTGGGGGTCGGGCTTGTGGGCACATAGTTCCCCTCACTGTGCCCGCTCTCCAATGCCTGCGCCCTTTCAACTACCCACCTGGGTCTCTCCCCCCAGAGTTATTGCCGCCCTGCCCCAACCCCGCCCGGTGCTTTCCCCTCCCTGGCTCCACCCATCCCTCTTCCCCAGGAGGGGGTCACACCACCACCAAATAGCAGGAGCTGCATGGCCATCACGTGGCCCCCTGGTTGGACACTGCACGACTAACTGCAAGGCCAGAGGTTCAAAAACCATCAGCCGCCCAGTGGGAGAAAGACGGGGCTCCCTCCTCCCGTCAAGAGCAACAGTCTCAGAAACCCACAGGGGCAGCTCTCCCCTGACCTGCAGGGTCGCTGGGAGCGGCCTCCACTCCTCGGCAGGGGCTTTGACCTCTGTTACAATCCAGGCGTGGTCCTGAGCACGCCCCACCACCAACAATGCGTCCAGATAGTTGCCGGCGCTCAGTTCCAACCTGCCGTCTCCCGGGTGCTGGGCGGAGCTGCCCTGCGGGAGTGCTCAGGGTGGAACCTCTCAGAGGGGGGTTGCCAGGCCCATCTTCTGAGGGACGGAGGGTGGGTTTGAGCCGCCAGCCTTATCAACGAGTGGCTGGGCCCTTAACTATTTATGCAACCCAGGGGCACCTTTCTACTGCTGCCCTGTTTCTAGGGGCCCACCTGCCCCTTGTCAGTATGTTGCTGATGGAACCGCCTGCCCGTCAGCCTCCGAGCTCTCCCCTCCCTCTTTCAGCTCTGCGTCCACTCATCTCATCACTGCCCGTCCGTCCTCCCAGGTCCTTTCACCGCTTCCCGTCCACTGGGTGGTCACGCGTCCTTTAACGTGCGACCCCTGGCCCTCACTCTCTGTCACTTTCCAACGAGCCCTGTGGTTGGCTGCCGCCCGACGCCGTTCTGTCAAACCCATGGCCGCAGCCGGGTGTCCGTCCATCTCGGCCGAGGGCCTTCCTCTTGTCCGCTGACCCTCCGCTTCACCAAGCAGGACGCCCTCCTCCGGGGACGGGTCTCTCCTGACCACACGTCCAAAGGACATGAGATGAAGTCACGCCTTCGTTGCCTCTTAGGAGGGCTTAAATGATACGTCTTCTTAGACCAGTTGGCTCTTTTGTCCGCCCGCGGTGCTGTTCACTCTTCTGTCCCACACTGTTCATTGTTCAAACGCGTTGGCGTTTCTTCCGTGCCCCTGACCCACTGTCCACTGTCCCAGGCGTAGGAGGCAGTGTAAAATACCGTGCCTCGGGTCAGGCTCGCTGAGTCCGCAAGGGGCATCTGGCTCTTCAACGCTTTAAGGGGTCTTGTCCAGCAGGTTTGCCCAGTGCAGTACAGCATTTGATCCCTGGACGCCTGCTTCTACGAGCATTGATGGTGCAACTGAGCGACGTGGGGTCCATCGTTGCTCCGTTTACCACCATGTTACCTGTCAGTCCAGGTGTGAGCATTTTATTCTTCTTTCCGCGGAGCCGTGATCCAGACGGAGGGCTGCGGTCTTCCTCTTCATCACCAAGGGCTTCAGGTCCTCCTCGCTTTCAGCGAGCCGGGCGGTGCCATCCGCGTAGTGCACGTTGTTCATAAGCCTTCCTCCAGTCCCGACGCTGCCCCCTTCTCCATAGAACCCAGCTCCTCGGATGGTCTGCTCGGCACACCGACGGACAAGTGTGCTGAGAGGATGCCCAACAACCCCGATGCACACCTTTTCCGAGTTTAATCCAGCAGGATTCCCTCGCTCTGTTCACACAACTGCCTCTTGATCTGTGGACCAGTTCCGCACGCGCACAATGCAGTGTTCAGTCAGTAAAACACAAGCGGACATCGTTCTGTGTCCTCTGCCTGCAGCCAGTCTCCCCGACATTGGTATCATGTCCCTTGGGCCAGTCCTCTGAGCTTCAGTTCTGGGCATGCTGAGCGTGCTCGTCCTGTTGGGGTTGACTAGCTCTGGGTCGTGGATCATTTCATTGTAACACCTGGCCCTGTCTCCTCCAGCTGCCCTGGCGTGTTTCCTGTTCAGCTCCTCAAAGGCCTCTTCATCCACGAAGCCACCAGGGCTCAGCTCACCACCAGCACCAGTTCCCACCCTGCCCGCTCTGACCCCTGATGACCCCTTGTGTCAGCGAGCCATGGCACCCCGGGGGCTTCCCAGGGGGAACTACCCAGCTGGCAGGGCTAGCTTCCAAGCCTCCAGCCTTTCTGTTGGTGCTCAAGTGCTTTCGGCCGTCTGCACCACAGGCCCATATGCACTCGATCAGTGTAGCCCCTTCCCGCCCCCTCCCTGTGCCGCTGTGGCAGTCCGGTCGGTGCCACCGAGTTGGTTCCGGCCCGTAGCGACCCGTGTGCATGAGAAGGAAAAGCCCCCGGTGTGGTTAGGTTTAGGTAGCCACTGGGTCGGTCTTTCTCATAGGGGAGGGTCTTCCTCTCTTTCACAGACCACCCTCCCCCCAACACACACACACACACACACACACACACACACACACACACACACACACTTTACCAAGGCACTGAGCAGACATCCGCAGAGGCACAGAGGAGGTCTGGGGACAGCACCCAGGGGGAGGGAGCAGCCCTTGACAGGCCCCAAGGCCCAGTCGG